CTCACCCCGGAAGGCACTTAGCATGGCTTGGCTAAAATAAACATCTAGAAAATTCTTTTGAAACTCAGCTGCATCTTATGTTTTAGATGTTTTGCCTTGTATATGGCAGTCCCTTAAATATTTATAAATAACAGGGGTTGGCAATATGACCTAAGTGGTTAAAAAACTGCCTGCAATGATTTGAGTCCCAGCCCAACTTTCTGCTAGTGTACTTGGGAAAGCAGTGGAACATGCTCCAAGTCTCTGGGCCCCTGCACCCACATGAGATACTTGGCTGAAGCTCCTGATTGCTGGATTTGGGCCCCGCCATTGTGGCCATTTGGGGGGTAAACCAGAGGACGGAAAATCTCTATCTCTGTCTCTGTCACTCTTTTAAATAAATAAATCCTTGAAAAAATAGCTATTGTGTCATTCACAGGTCACCCCCAGGGCCCTCAGCATCCTGAAAACAGTGGAACTTCAGAGTTTCCAATGTGTTGTGCCTACCTTGGATTTTATCCCAAGCTCTTTTTCTATCTCTTTTGAAATGGCTGCAAAGCAAACAGACCTGTAGAAAGGCCCCACACCAAAGGAGGGCACTTGTGGGCAACAGCAGCTTTAACAAGAGCTTTCAATCACAGCACTTGTGCATGGTTATACTAGAGCAACCTGAAGCCTCCTTAAGTAGCAAGCTCATCGAGAAGCAGGGCAGGGTTGCAAAAAGATGTAATCAGAAAACACTGAATTTTAACTTTATTGTACTGAATGCTGGTGACCCATTCAACTTTTGAAAAAATCTAATTCCCAGAGCATGTCCACAGACTCTTTACTACTGTCTCTTGGTTATTTCTAGTACTGATCCCATTTTCAAAATGTAACAGATTGCACAGGCAAGGTTTGGCATCAAAATATACCTTTGTTCAATGGATAGAACACATGTGGGCAACATTACCAACTACGAGACAGGGATTGCATCCGTGCCTAGAGACCATGTGCCCAGTGGTGGAGACACACAAGGGTAACACTAAGGCCATGACAGTAAACTCACAGGGAGGGACATCAGGTCTTGACCAGTAAGAATCTCCGGAACAATTTTTTTTAGCATTCTTTCTCTAAGGGTTTTCTCATAACATACATTAGGAACTGTAAAAGCATCATGAAACTCCCTTCAAAATTCCTTCTGGATAACATAAGCACCCTTCTGAATTCAGATCATCAGCTGTGTTCTCAAGTGGAAACTTGTAGCAGAAGCTAATTGAGCCGAACCGTGAGGAAGTGCTGTCTTGGAGAAATCGCAGCAGTACCCACTGGGACAAGTCTTGGACCCCTGGGGCTACTCCAACTCAGGGAAAACAAATGCAAGGTACCTAGACACCCTTTGGGGGATTGTCTCAGGATTATTTTTTGTTTTATTTACAAAGCCAGGAGATTCTTCTGGGCCTCCCATGTGGGTGCAGGGTCCCAAGGCATTGGGGTCATATTCTAAAGTTTTCCCAGGCCACAAGCAGGGAGCTAGATGGGACAAGGAGGAGCCAGGACACAAACTGATGCCCATTTGGGATCCTAGCACTTGTAAGGCAAGGATTTAGGCACTGAGACACCCTGTACTGGGCTGGAATTACTTTTTCTATAATAATGCGTCCCCATTTGCCCCATGCCTTTTCCTTCCTGAATCTGCTCTGTGAGGCTCCTTTAAACCAGATGTCACTGCTCTGGAAATGCTGGGGAATGTGAGGGCCAATGGAGAAGGTTAACACTTGCATTGTTCACAATATGATTTTTATACATCACGAACACTACGTATGAGTGTTTAGTATCTGGTAGGCCCTTGCACACACGTGATCTCACGTAAATGTGAAGAACACCCTGTCAGGGAGCATGTCTGCTTTCCCAATATAGTTGCTCAGTGGGGAGGAGCAACAGCAGGGAGCAGAACGCATCGACACTGTTGGATGAAGCCAACTGCTGGAGCTCCTCAACCCCTCACGGGACAGATTCAGAAATATCCCTGGTCTCTGGAATATTCTAGAAGGAAGTATCCAATACAAACACAACTAGTGTACAACTAGTGTATGTACAACAACAGGAACCTACAACAAAGAGATTTTATCTTAAATCATACTTTCTTTATCCTATAAAAAATCAAATTTCCAAATAATTCTATCAAAGATACAACAATTTAATATAAAGGTTATGGTTAAGAACTTAGCAGCAGCAAGAGACGCAGCAACAGTATTAAGCAGAGTGTAAGTACCCAAGACTATCAAACGTGAACTTCAAAGGAGAATGCATGGCTGGAGGACAGCGAAGGACACGGGCACAGTACAAGGACAGAACAGTAATGCTTGGTTGGACAAAGTCTGTGACTTTGCAAAGTTTCTTTTTGCATCTCCCACATTATTATTATTTTTACATGTTTGATGCTCTGGTTAAAACAGGCACAAAGCATTAATTTCTTAAGCTGCCAACTCTACAGTTGGATGGCAGGCTGTTGAAAGGACAATTTCTTTTCAAATTTTCATGGCAAACAGTGCTCATTACTTCTAGGTATGGAACCCACCTTTTTTGCATAGAGCAAAGGAAGCTTTGAAAGCCTGGTACTTAATGATGTTTTCTCTTATAAACAAAGGCCATGATTGGCTTTGGAGAGACTTAGGTATTCACAGAAAGGAATGACAGGGAAGAACAGCCAAAGAGAAGACTGGGAGAGAGTGGTAACCAGGACACTTTCCGGGTTCTACTCAACAAGCTTTTACCATTCTCATGGAAATAAATTTGGGAGCCACCACGTACTTCTCCATTCAAAAGCCAATGAAAGGGGAAAGCTTTCAAATGATTCTCTAGTTATCCACAATTTGGTATCTTCTATACTTCTATTAATAAAAATTATCAAGAAAGAACCTATGGAGCTTTTCCTCAAAATGAAAAATAAAAACTCAATACACTTATTACTGGGAAAATGTTTAAGAGAAAAGAAAATATTTGTAATGTGGAATGAAACGTTTACCCCTTACATAAGTCATCAACCGCTGACTGTTCTTTACCAATCATAAAGACACAGGTAATGTACACCTCCCACTGGGGCTTGGGCAATGCCTAATACATACATAACTGCTTTACTATAAACCAGAGTTCATCACAAGAAACATGAGTTTACAGAATTAGCCCTCATGCCAAGGACTGAATTGCCTTTAAAACATGCCATTCTTCCCTGCTTGTAAACAGGAACAAAACCACCGTGGATGCAGGTGCATGCCTCCGGGACCTCCAGGCAGTGGCGTGTTTACTTGTATAAATATTTAAAGTCAGACCTTTGAATTTATAATGAAGTAGTATAGCACTTTACAAAATAAGGTATTAGCAAATTCAGATGTACAACAAATAGAATGCTGTTCGGAATACTAATTGCTGCTGTTGATATTCTGCAACGAAACAAGGTAATGGTATAATTTAGATTCCATCTAAGCCAGCCTAGCATATGTGTGAAAATCTCAATCAGTCTTGACGAAACCTGAGGTTTTTAAACTGCTGTATTGCACAGGCTTGGTGACTGAGGCACAAGCAAGCTTCTGCCTGGCCCTGCCTACCCCCGCCAGTGATCTTACTTTTTTTTTTTTAAAGATTTATTTATTTTTATTGCAAAGTTATATATACAGAGAGGAGGAGAGACAGACAGGAAGATCTTCCATCCGATGATTCACTTCCCAGGTGACCCCCAACAGCCAGAGCTGAACCAATCTGAAGCCAGGAATCAGGAGTTTCTTCCGGGTCTCCCACATGGGAATAGGGTCCCAAGGCTTTGTGCTGTCCTTCACTGCTTTCCCAGACCACAAGCAGGGAGCTGGATGGAAGCAGGGCTGCCGGGATTAGAACTAGCACCCATATGGGATCCCGGCGCTTTGAAAGCGAGGACTTTAGGCACTAGGCTACCATGCCAGGCCCCAGCAATCATTTTTTTTTTTAAGATTTATTTATTTATTGGAAAGTCAGATATACAGAGAGGAGGAGAGACAGAGAGGAAGATCTTCCGTCCGATGATTCACTCCGCAAGTGAGTGCAACGGCCGATGCTATGCCGATCCGAAGCCAGGACCCAGAACTTCTTTTGGGTATCTCACAAGGGTGCAGGATCCCAAAGCTTTGGGCCATCCTTGACTGCTTTCCCAGGCCACAGGCAGGGAGCTGGGTGGGAAGTGGAGCTGCCGGGATTAGAACCGGTGCCCATATGGGATCCCGGGCCCGTTCAAGGCAAGGACTTTAGCCGCTAGGCCACGCCCCCCAGCAATCTTACTTTGATAATACATATTCAACTTACACAGGAGAGAAGAGTCTGATCAGAAGCATCTGCGGCTGTTCCTGGGGAGCTCTATATCAATGCAGGTGCGGAAAGGCTGCGTGGTAGAAGATGCTTGCAGGTGTACATGGATGCCATGCCATCGGGCCTGGTCATTGGGTTACGGTGTGCTCCTGTGACTCATCTCCTGCTTCAGCATGTGGCAGCTAAATAGGCTTACTTACACACCACCAGCCTGCACCTGCATCCCACAGTGGAGTACTTGGGTCCAATTACTAGCCTTCCTGCAGCTTCTGCATAGTGCTGTGATACTTCAAGTACCTGGGCTCCTGCCCCTATTGGGGAGGTCTGGCTGCAATTTCTGGGGAGCGAGCCAACATATGGGAGCTCCCTTTCTCTGCCCCTGTCTCTCTGCTTCTCAAATAAATTATTTAAAAAAAAAAAATGAGTGGGCTGGCACTGTGGCATAGGGGGTTAAGCTGCCCCCTGTAGTGCCAGCATCCCACATGAGTGCTGGTTTGAATCCCAACTGCTCTACTACAGGTACAACCTGGAAGAAACTCCTGGCTTCCCCCTTCGGCCTAGCTCAGCTCTGGCCATTATGGCCATTTGAGGAGTGAATCGAGATCAAAGACCTCTTTTCCATTCTCTATAACTCTGCCTCTCAAATACGTAAAATCAATCTTTTCTGTTGCTTTTTGAAATGCTCAGGCACTGGGGACACGTACCTGTGATTGGGACTGCCGTGGCCATGCTGTCTTCCTTTCTCTCATCTCCACAGTCACTTGAAACTTCTAAAAATCAAACAGCAAGAAAGTATATTTCAAAAATTATGGAACTGATTTGTGGGTTTTTAGCTGCTGTTCTTTTTACTTTTACTCCTCTTCAACTTCTTTGGTTTTTTTGTTTTGTTTTGTTTTGCTAGTTTCTTTCTTATCTGAAAGTCTGCTATTCCTAAAAGGAAGCCAGTTCTAAGACTTAGGTTACCTCCACCCCTGCCCCGAAGACCCCGGGTTACCAGTCGCATTCTGGGCTGGCACTTCCTTCCCACTCTGCCCAGGGCACCAGAACACGCCCTGCTGCCCTTGCAGCCCGTGTGTCTGCCAAGGGTGGCCCAGCCACTGTCCCTTCCTCCCGCAAGGTAACTGTCCACTGTAATTCCTAATAATGACTCAGGCAAGGCAGGGAGGCAGCAGGGACTTGTAACCTCCCCAGGACGAAGTAACCAAGAGATTCCTGTGGGCAGGGAGTTAATGAAGATTATGATCCTGTAGGTTTCTCCTTGCCTGAAACCAGAAGATGCCCCCTCAAGCATGGGGCAGCCTACCCAGCAGATTCCAGGACCTTTGCACACCGTGACCGTTGTCTCTGCTGACCCACTGTGACTCCGTGCAAAGATTTCTTCATGCATGTCGTTTTGTTTGTTACTGTTTTAAGGGGTACATGCTGTGATCTGCATTGTGACTTGGTGATAATAAAATTTAGACTATCTGAAAAAATAACGTCTCTCTGGGTTGCTTTCAGGCAGAAACACTGATATCTGTCAGCTGCGAGTGGGACTTGAACGAGCCTCCCAGCTTGGACACTGAGTTTGACATCTGAATCCATCCTAAGCAACTCCTGGTTCCCTGGAAATACCACTGGGCTGCTTTCCAGGTGTGTCCCGCCAGTAATGCTGACACAGCCACAGCTTCTGGATGCCAAAAACTGACTATTCATTTTTTAAGGAATAAATTCACTGCTTTTTCTTTAGACACGGATAAGGTTCTATTACCATTAAGAAAGCATGTTTAAAATATGAGTGACAGCCAAACTCCACACTCATTATGAAATCCTTTTCCTGGGATCTCCTTCCCCTTTGTGGAGCTGAATTTCCTACTTTATTGACACTTATTTTACTAGAGGTTCAGCACCACCACAGACCTGCAGCCAGGCTTCCCCTTGCCAGATTGAATGAGAACACACACAGGCATCTCCTGCAAGGTAGGAAAACACACAGCCCACTCTGCATGTCACAGAGGTGGTCTCTAATCGGCACCATTTTATGGGTACACGTCGTGCCAGGGAAGGTGGTACTGATGCTGATGGCCACTTGGCTGTGGACAGGCCCTTTAACTAGTCACCTTGCTCCCTTGCGTGAACACTGTGCAGCTCCAGAGGGGGTTTTGCTTCCTTTCTTCCAGGATCGTCATTCAGAATTGGTGGCAAGCTGCAAGATGATTCAGTGCTGTGAACAGCCGACCCATCGGCACACTCTTCCACAGAAGCTTCTCTCAAGAATGCTGTTGCCTACAGTGTTTCAAAGGAAGCACAAAGAAATAAAAACAAACTACAGCCGCATTTCCCTTGGCCTCCAAGACCCAGCCTTCAAATATAATGTTAGGTTAAGCTTGACTTGGGATTTAATTTGCTTCCTGACATTTAACTGAAATTAAAATGTCATCAAGATGAAATAACATCTGGTTATTTTCCAGCACAGTTTAATTCTTTACAACAATTTATAGTCTCAATAATATATTTGTGAGGACCAGCTCTCCCGTGATGCAGCAGCGCGTTCTTTGCCTTGTGAAGTATGTTCGGGAGACGTGGCTCCCACGGATACCGCAGGCTGCGCTATCCCCACTCAGACATAATAAAAGCCAGAGCCCATGCCCTCTTTGTGAAGGAAAGATTTAGATTCCCACTGTGTGAAACCCGTACTCCAGGCGGATAAGATAGTGTCGGTTTGGACTGAGACAGAGATCTGGGGAAACGTGACCTCACAGTATCCCCATTTTCCTAGAAAAGACCTCTGTATTAGCCACAAACAGGAAGATTGCAGAAAAACTGTGGCTCAGGAGAATTCACCTAACAAAAAGATAACTGGCCTTATTCTAAAGTCTGGGATTCAGCCAAGGCTGCACTTTGCTGCTAGGTCTGCTGAAAGCTGAGGGCCACACTCTTAGAAAAAGGGGTCAGTTAACAGGACATGGGGTAGCACATAGCCATTTTCCTCCAGGTCAGCCTTCTTCCCTGAGGAATAAAGACATGTGAGCAAAGACAAGCTTTGGTAGAGAACCACTGGTTATTCCTTCTGGTTGTCACATTGTATCTTACTTCCAGGCAACTGGAGAAGTGATCTTAGTAGGGGTGGAGGTGACCTCCCACTGCTCTCTGACATACACGCAAAGCCACCCTTTGGAAAATGGACACAAGAGATGCAGCACCAGAATGAAGTACAGAGTTGGACAAAGCACCACAGGTTGTCCTTAGCACAAGTAGCAAAGTGGTAAGAATGTGACCATTTAGTTAACAATGGGAAGAGAATAGCCTTTCCTTTCAAAGCAGGAAAAGAATCCAGCCTTGTATGCTTGGCATTTAAGCACATTGCCTTTGGCCACTGCCTCTGGGCCTGACTTTCACGAAAGTCTTCTTCTGCCCTCACTGGGACGGGCTGGCCTCCCAGACTCAAAGTCTACACTGCAAGCTGGCACCACTGACTAAGAAATTTAAGGAATTCTAGTCTCTCTAACTGAAGGGCTTGGCATCAAGTCAACCTTGGACATTCCTGTGGTCCAATTCTTACAGCCAGGGCTTCTCCTTACGTTGAAACTAGTCCCTGGACCTGATGACAGTTGTAGTAACAATCTGAGGGACGATCTGCTCAGTGTCTTTCTTTCTGCAGTCTGGGATTGAGGCTCTGCCCTTGAAGTCCATGCCAAGGTTAGTCCCCTTTATCAGCTGCTGTCCAGCCCTCATGCCAGCTGCCCACAAAGACCACTACACTGCCCTGCACCTGCTTTCAGAATCCACCGAGGAAGAGAGGAGAAACACAGACATAACATCCCTGAACTTGAACTGCCATCTCTCAGCTGGCAGTGTCCTTGCTCTGATAAGGAATGATTTGGGTGTCTGCACTCTTTCTGATCTAGTCTTTGCCCAATAATATGAAGAGCATTTTAAAATATGAACAGAGAGCAGTGATTGCAATTCTGTAGATAAAGCTATAGTTTTCCTTTTCTTAGACTGACAATATGTGTTTAAAAAAAAAACACGTTCACTGAAAAAGCAGCTTATTTCTTGGATAGGAGATGAACGTGAAGGCATTTGATAAAATTACATTTCATTCTGTATACAGAAAACCAGGGAACTCACTACCATGAAGGTAGCCAGGAGCTGAGCTTTCTTCACACACAGATTAAGCTGACTTCCCCAGAAGCCTTCCTTTGGCACACAAGAAGCAGTTTTCCAGCACTTAAGAGACATCCAAGCATTAGCACTTAAGTTAGGCCTAAGTTAAAGGAGAAGAAGGAGTTTCTCTGTGCGGTCATGAAAAGCAAGGGAAAGTATCCAAACGGGCTCATGCCAGGCAAGGAGAAGCAGGCCGAGCACCACCGGGAAGAGGCTTCCAGAACGGAACTTGTGTTGGTGTGCTGCGAGACAGGACCCCCACCATTGATGACAGCACCTTCCCAGCTCTGCTGGGGCCCAGTCCCCTTGCGAGGGAAGACACATCACTTGGGAGAAAAGCAATATTACAGCACTCTGAATTTCAATAAAGCACTAATTTCATTTTTCTCCACATAAAGTAATTACATATTTTTTAGAACTAAAAGTGTACAGCTCCGTTATGTAACTGCCTAAGAGCCTGTGTGGGTGCTGCAGGGTTCCTGTGGGCTCAAGGGGGAACAACCTCAGTTTCTGCAGCTTCGATGCTGTATTGACTCAAGAGAAGGGATTGACTCCAGCTGACAGCACAGGGACCCACAGGTAAACATCATTACATGGGACTATTTAATTAGCCATTCACCCCAGAGATCAAAGTAAATAGTTCAGAGCTGCAATCGACTCATCACCAATTATATTCTGGAAGACCTTCAAAACGTATACACTTCTAAGATTTTACCCAAAAAGAGATGTTTAGCCCATAAACGTGCTTTTATTTCAACACACAGAAACAACTCACTCTTCATTTTGGTATTCATAATAGGATGATGATGGATAAGCCGAATAGTTCCAGAGTCCAAAAAGCATATTGTAGACTGAGTTCACAAGGCTTCCCTCGCTCACTTTTGGTTAACATTGCGTTTCTTCAGTACAATCTATTAGAAAAGCTCGTCTACTGCTGCCACTTTTTAAAGGACAGATTTTTGTCACTAACTTATTTTTGATTAATTATTACTTTGGCATTCCTCTTGCCTGCCCCTGCCTGCCCCTATCACCAATGGAGACACTAGAAAAATTCAAAGTGGATTGGTTGTTTGAAACTCTAAAAGAAACAATATCTTTATTTCTTTCTATTTAAAACAAAATGATGCAGGGGCTGGCATTGTGTCACGGTACGTCAAACTGCCACCTGTGAAAACAGCATCCTATATTAGTACTGGTTCAAGTCCCAGCGGTTCCACTTCGCATTTGGCTTCCGGCTAATGCACCTGGGAAAGCTGTTGAAGGTGTCTCCGTACTTGAAACCCTTCTACTCCTGTAGGAGACCTGGATGGATTTGCTGTCTTTCTTGTCTTACACTTGGCCCACTTCTGGCTGTTGTGGTCATTTGGGATGCTTCGAGAATGAAACAAGAAACTCCTTGATTTGTGAGGATCATTAAACAAAACAAGGGGCTGGTGCAGTGCTTTACAGGTTAATCTGCTGCAGCGCTGGCATTCCACATGTGTGCTGGTTTAAGCCCTGGCTGCTTCACTTCTGGGAAAGCAGTGGAGGATGGCTCAAGTCCTTGGGATCCTTCACCCACTTGGGAGATCTGGAAGTTCCTGGCTCCTGACTTTTGACTACCTCAGCTTCAGCCATTGTGGCCATTGAACCAACAGATGCAAGATCTCAGAGTCTCTGTCTCTCCTCTCTGTAAATCTGCCTTTTTATTATTATTAAGAAGAAAAGAAATTTATTTTTATTGGAAAGGCAGATCAGATTTACAGAGAGAAGGAGCTGCCTCTCGCACTCTAACCTGGTCAAAAGGCCATCCACCTGTTTAGGGTCAATCACGTGCCCTGTGCTCTTCACTGTAGCCTCCCCTGTTGCATCTCCTGATAGCTCGGCTTCCTTTTCTGAGGACCCATATTCTCTGCTGTTTTCTAATGATATGGCACAACACAATGTCATCACACAGAAAGAGGGAACCATATTTTATTTACCTTTTCTCTTCCATTGAATCTGCGCTGTTACCTAGATACAGCAATGGACTAATATATATATATATATATTTGCTGGATTGATAGAAATTATAGTAATTTATTTCTTTACAATATTTTGACCGTCTTTTTTGATAACTTCCTTTTAAAAATGTATTCATTTGAAAAGCAGAGCAAGACAGAAAGAATAAAGTCAAAACAAGAGTGACAGCAAGAGAGAGAACCTTCCAGCTGCTGGTTTAATCCCTGTGTGCCTACAATAGCCCTGGCAGGACCAGGCCCAATGCCAGGAACCAGGGACTCAAGCTGCAGCTCCCACAGGGGCAGCAAGAGCCCAAGGGCTTGAATCATGTCTGGTTCCTTCCAAGAGTGCTCATTAGCTGGAAATTGCAATATGGACAGGCAGTCAACCTCTGGCACACCAGTATGGGACGGGGCACCCAGAGGGGCAGCTGTGTCTCTTCACCTTACCTGCCTGGGACAGGATCTGTAAAGCAGGGGGAATAGAGCCAAGAAGCCAGAAAGTTTCAGGATGCTCCTAAGCTGCCTGTGAAGTGTTTTAACAGAAATGTTCAATGACGTTCTCTCTAAGATCTAAACTAACACTGTGTCAGATGTTGGGAATCCTATATAAAATAGTATGCAAAAGTTGTGAGACAGAAAGTCAAGAGACGAACCAACCAACCAACCAATCAACCACAAAGCCTCACTACTTTTCGTATCATTATTTTTTCAAATATTTTAATCATCCTTAAGAACTTAACTTTTCTCAAATGAATACCTTATACATCTTGTAACTTATTTTAAAAATCCTAACCCTTGTTGTCCAGTCCGCATGCTTGGGAAAACCTGAGCCCGCTTGGCTGCTTACCTCCTGGGGAGAACGGACTTGTTCTCTCAAGGTGGCATCACCCAACTGTGCCTTCAGGAAGCCTGAGTCTGGGGCTTCTTCAGATCTGTAAAACAGAGACATGAGGCTATATAACACACGTGTAGCATGCAATTATTTATCAGGTAGTTAGCAGAAGACAGCTTATCTAAAATGCTTCGTATCTGACATATTCCAGGCGCAGGTAATTTTGAGTCCAAATATTTAACTTTTCAAATTTTAGACTTATGATTTCACCGTTATCTGTGCATTCTCACCTGGCACACAAAATCATCTGGGGAGTTTTGTAACACTTAAGTGCCAAGGGCTACCCCTCCAAGTCCAGCGAAATGGGTCTGTGGAGTGGCCTGGCCAGTTGAGTCTGTAAGTCTCACAGAGTGATTAGAAGGTAGCTATCGGTTTGGATTATTGTATAAATGTGCTTAAGAGAGAAAGATCATATTTTCATGTCAATTTTTTGGTTATACTCATAGTCTACTCACAGTTAAAAAGAAAGTATATTATCATTATTGGAGCTTAAAAGTCTTCTATTTCTGCCCAAAGTTTGATGTAAACTAATTTACACCTTCTCTAATGAAAAATATAATAGGCTTTGTCTATAATTAATTTCACCTACTTGAAACGGCTTATAATCAGAAAATAAATGCATTGGCATTTCCTGACAAGTGGTTCACAAGTAGTAATTTGTCCAAAGGTTTAAACACAAAGTAACAAATACCTTGGATTTTATTCTGAATAATTCAGGCAGACTTAAAGAGGATTTTACATATTATAATCCAAACAATAAAATTGATCAAGTTTTAAATTTTTATTTTATTTTTAATATTGTTTACAGTTTACAGGAATGAATGCCCATGCAGATCTTCAATTACAATGTGAAGGGTCAGATATGGAAATATCCTGTGTCTTAGGGGCAGGGTCAAACTACATAAGCTCCGGGGATGTGGGACAGTCACTTGATGATGTCTTAGAGTCCTTGATGTGGAAAAAACTATTCCAAGGGTGTTACTCGAGTGGTTTGGATAGTTCTAAGAAATTTGGTTTCATTGCTCCAAAACTGAGAAAGTCTTCTCAGGTCTGTTGGTTGATAAAGTCCACCTTAGTGCATCCATGCACCCAGGAACATGCTGCAAAGTTTGGCCAGGACAGTGATCCAACCTGCTCTGCTTTCCATCCTCTGACAAGGCAATCAATGTCCTCTGTTGGCCTAGATGAGCTGGCTGTCATGTCCCCTGTGTGCATCTGGACATGGTGTCAACTACACAGTCATCAGCAACTGAGGAGGCCCAGTCCCAATAACGTGCATCCCACGGTCAGATCCCATATCTTGTGACTTTCCCTGTGGCTAGGGTTTGAGTCCAGCAATCTAGTTGGGGAGTCCCCCAAGAAACCTTACCTGGGGTGACCTCAGACTTGATGCTTGTGTGTACCAGTCAGTACAGCATCAGGTTGTCTGACAGCTGTACCAGCCAATGCACACACTGGTAGATGCAACTGCCTGGTCAGTTCTGCTGCCAGTATCATCTCTCAAGTGAATCGATGGGTGCTACAGCTTAGTCCAGCCAAGCCTGCCACATGATCTCGCGCCTGCAAGAGGGTACCGCAGTATGGACTGACATGACTTGTGCCAATTTCTGCCACTTGACAGCTGGTGCTGTGGCCCAGCCTGGCTGGCCTGCACCATTCTGGTATTCTCTTACACCAGAAAGAGGTTGTGTGTGGCAACCTAGCTCAGTCTGGCCCTCCCCCAGACAGGCCTACTCCCAGTCCCAGCTCTAATGCTTACCAGTGGAAGCAGCAGCAAGAGAGTTCCCGAAGTTATCCTATCATGCCCATTCTCAGTCCTGGGTATTATGTGTACCCAGTATGAGACAGCTCTAAGTATCTGCATTTGCCAGTAGGTGATGCAGCCTGACTCAATCCTACCTACCTCCAGCCCCAGTCCAACCTGGCCCACCCACTACCCCAGTTCATCTCATCTCCCTCACCTGCCTGCCAGTACAGGTCTGTGGAAGCCCCCAGAAGTCAATCCTTCCCTAATAAATGTGTCCTCAGCCACAAACACTGCAACATGCCCCCAGATTCCCTTTCCAGGGCAATCTATAGCAACCCTCTTACCTGGGGGCCAGGATGGCATGTGCAGGCCTAGCATTCCTTGCCTTCCCCACATATCTTTGAAAAAAGAAAAACAGAACAGGCAGCTCTGCAAGCATATTGGTATAGTTAACACAAATTTGGCATTAAGCAGGCCCAGAGTACCCACTTTTCTCCCAGCGGTGTAACACTTGCCTAGGTTCAAGGTGACCCAGGCAGCTGCCAAAAACTTGGGGTGACTCAACTTTTAAGCTTGAGTTTAGCAGCACTACTAGACACAATTAGTTAAAGATAGGGGGTAAAAGTTGTTTTTATTTTTATGAAAATTTATTTATTTAATTTACTTAACTACTTAGGAAACATTTTTATGTTAAGTATGTTTTTCAGAGGCAATAACAAGGGAAACAATTCAGCAGTTACCACAGATGACACAAATTATATTTTAACAATTTTTTAACTACCTAAAATAATAACTTGGTCCTGCAGCTGATAACAGTAAACCTTTCATATGAAGGTCTTGGAAGACTTAATCCTTGGCATAACGTAACTCAATAATGACAACAGAAGTAATTTTGTGCTTCATTTGGTGAAGATTTCTGGTTTTTGAGGAATTCAGAACTCTTCACATTATTTTCTTATGTATGCTGCTCCATTTTTACAGTTCAGATTAAGGAGGCAGATGTGAACCATAGTTTGGTCAGGGGCACAAGCCAGGCTGCTGCCATAGGAAACACAAGTCTACCCAAAAAGCCCTATAGTTACAATCTGTTAAGCCCTTCTACTCTGCAGAGTTCAGGATTCCAGGGCTTCACCTCACTAACATCTACAGAACAAAAGGAGATCATCTGCTCCATATCAGCGCTTCTTGAATGACTCTACAAAAGGTCAGGGGCTGCGAGGGTCTAGGGAAAGACTGCAAAGCAGATAAGACATTTCACACGGGGCAACCCCAGTAATCGCTCTCAGGTGCTGGGTGCAGCTGGAGCAAAAAGAGCAGAAGGGAGCTGGGGATTAAAAAGAGCCTGCGTTTAAAGACCTGACTACTTCTCTCAAGGGTCATAAACATGTGGCACTTTGTCCAAGGCCTGCGGTTGAGCCAGTGGCAATCAGTGTGCATTAAGCAGCAGCTTCAGTCATACTGAAAGCAACACTGACAGAGGATACCAAACCTGACTTCTTTATCTGGCTTTGAAATATGACTGTGGTAAGGAACCAGACTTGAAGATTCCAGACAGTAATTTTTAAATTTGTGTTGGCCATAAAGAAGGATCATTTCTTACAGAAGCCTGATTTATTCACAACGGGAGGTCCACAGTCATGTAAAACACAACCTTCCACAATGGAAATCAAAGCTCTATTATGAATGTTGAGAAATAATCACTAGTGTAGTAGATGCAGACACCATATCTTATCACCCACAATCCAAGTTTGGCAGCCTAGCTTAAGAGCGTCACACAATAAATCATTTAGCCTAACAAGTCAGTTTGCATGGAAAATTATAAATGCATATATGCTTTCCATGCCACACCACAATGTGTTTATGCAAAATAGTATTTAAACAGATGTAAAATGCAGAGAAAGGCATAAAATATTGGCTAAATAGTCTTGCAGCACATAATCACCCAACTACCTAAGAGGTTCAGAAAGACGACTCCTTCCCAAGCCAGCTTGTAAAGTTGTATTTTAAGACTGCAGTTCTTATTTTGCATGGTTAAAAAAAAAGCCTACAAAAGGGCGTTGTTGCATTGCTCTTTACTGCCTTTGAAAACCTAGTGACCAGAAAAATCATTCCCAGCATCACCCACAGCTCAGGGATGCGTACTGCAGATTCAGAAGGTGACGTGAAGCCACCTGATTGGGTGGAGTCTTCTGTAACAAGGATCCTTTAGAGACGATTCTCACTTACACCTGCTCCATGATAGTTACACTGACCGCCATACCCCATTTATAGCATCAGTGTTAAGCAACCTATGTGGCACAAAAAGAGGTAGAGAAGATGTTTCAAATTCAAGCTAAGCAGATTCAAAACCACTTACTCTTTCAGCCCAACTCCCTCCAGAGGCGTTTTCATACACACACACTCGCACTCACATACCCCCTACTAACCTACTTGTATAATGTTTTGTCTCCCTCTAGTAAATAGTGTAGACACATTTTAGTGAGGAAATAAAGGCAGACCCAAAATAAAAACCATTGTTAGGATACTGGTAACACTTGAACAACATGAATCCTTAGAAGGGCTTGCTAGAACTCATACGGCTGCACACATTCCTAGTTGTTGCATTAATGAGTCTGGGATGGGGTCTGAGAAGGTGCCTTTCCAACAAGCTCCCAGGTACTGGTGCTGGTCCAGGATCACATCTGTAGAATCAACTTCAATCAGGAGACGTAATGATACTGAGAACGCAGGAAATTTCCTGGGCCTTGGTCCAGCCAAAACCATCCTCTAGGTGGTGGTTCTACTGGCCTCACATGCTGAGCTGATCACAAGGACATGTTAATATACATTGTTCCCCTCAAAATTAAGTCCTCTTTTTAAAAAGTTCTTCATTTTCCATAATAGAGTTCCTTAGGCTCAGCGATTTCCTCTTCCAACCCTCCCCGAACTTCTCCAAAATAAATTTTTTTAAATGTTTTTTTTTATTAATAAAATTTATTTTGACATTCTTTACATACTTAGTTAGAGTAAGAAGGTTCAAGGGCTACAGGAAAGTGGATAGTATGTTTTCCATATTGTTACCTTCAATCTCGGACAGTCCTTGAACTTTGCTAACAGCAGGCAATGAATTTTAGAAAAAGAAAGTGTTTCTGGGGGTCACAGAGGTCCCAGATCTAGTAGCCCCACTGGCCGGGAGTTGGGTAAGGCTGCTGGACAGCAACAGCAGAGTGTATGTGGAAGAACAATCCCTGAGAGTGGAGCTGAACTCAACTCAGGCCTTTGTAACAACCCTGTCAGGAGAACCACCCACTCAA